TTTATTCCATTATATTCTCAAGCTAAAGAGTAGTGAGTCTTTGGCACCATTGCGAATGATGGAAATTCACAAGGACTATTTTACATGTGTAGTAATTTGTTTTTTAATTTGATATGATAAAAGAGTATTAATTATTAATCTTGTTTTGAATTAATATGATAAATTAGTTGTTCATATACTATATTTGATACTCTCTTTGTCCCATGTTGTTGGATACATTTGAGTAGTTGTTATTCTTTTTCGTTTAAAAAATAAAACTCCGTTTGAATTCCACGGTCTTCGATATCGATATTTGAGACTTTCAAACATTACTATTTACTACCATATACTTAAACAGTTAAGTAGTTAACAAGAGTTGATTGCAAAACTCAAAGTGGGAAGTTTTCTACGAACAGAGAGTACTTTACAATCATAACCTTTTAAAAGTAGAAAAGTGTGTGGCTCCTACAAAAAGTAAATGGTGAAAAGATTGATACATCATACACGATAAAGTGGAAAGTAAGAAGTTCTTGGAGTTCAAACTAGTAAAGTAATTAATTTTTTTAGCACAAAGAAAATGAAAATTTGTAAGAAAATAGGAGATGGAGTAATTTATGGTAATATTTATATCCAAATATTTTTTGGCTTGAGATTATGATGGAATAAAGTAAAATGGCTCACTAAACTGTCTGCGCTTCTTTGTTATGAAGCAGCAGCTAGTCCATGCAATTTTGGACGGGATTTTCACTATGGGTCATCCGGAAACCGTCATTCTGTGCTTTAGTACAGGGGTAAGACTGCATACACCCGCCCCCTACCCCACCGTAAGGGGGAGCCTTTGCGGCACTGGGGTAAATGAAAATGAAAAAATTTATATCCAAATATTGCAATATTTGTCCAAGCATGTTGTAAGGGGTCTTTGTGTACAACTTCAGCCAACTGACACTGTATTATTGTCAAAAAGTGACGGCTGGCACTCAGTTGACAATAATACTGCCAACAATTTGACATCCTAAAGTCACTCTTCATTACCATAACGTGATAAGGATTAAGGACCTAATTGTGACTGCATGTTGTTGTTCCTGATTATATGGACTGGTGAAGGTTCATTCTTTCCTTTTAGTTTCGATTCATTACTTTTCAACACCTTCAGTTGGGTAGTATTCAAGGCATGCTTACTGATGCGTCCTGTTTGATTGACTGGCAAAAACAGGTCTATACTAAGCAAGACACATCTAAAATGCCACTTGAGCTAGCAAGTGCACTTTCCATTGAGCGTGAACCTGAGTCTGATCCTGAGATTCGTGTACAAACCTTGGAAGCAATTTATTTACTTGTCTTACAGGTAAAAGCCTGGCTTATGTGCGTACTATATGTTTTATGTGCTAAGCATTTGCCTTGCACCCGCAGTACATTCATTCACTACGGGAGAAGAATTATTGTGCTTCTTACATAAGTACAAACAATTTTTAGTCACTTGTATAACTTCCCTCCTAGATTTTTTTTAGCCATCACTTGCATGTTTTTCCGACTTTACCCTGCCAAGGTCCAGCCTAGCGTTTTCTAAACACTACGTTTTAGTGGGATTTCTGTTTTGACCTATTTCTTCAAAATCTTGATGCCTCCTCAGGAGGCTGGTCGAAGTGCATTTTGGTCAGTGAATGGTCCCAGGATATTACAAGTAGGGTATCAGGATGAAGAAGACCCAAAAACAATGGAAGCGTATGAACGAGTTGGCTCCTTGGTAATTTGCAAAACTCATGCTCTCTTCCCCCCTCCCCTATTCGCTTCATTCTCTTTTTTTTTTGCAAAAAAACATCATCCCATTTGCTCTTAAGCTCAAAGATTATAAATTCTTGTGCTTTGGTATAGCTGATACAAGAGGGTGGCTGTGGAGATGCATCCATGGATGCGTAACAGTCAACTAATGTAAGTCAAGCCTTGGAGTTCGGACAAGTGCACGTGGTTGAAGATGATACCAAAACATGTACGTCTGTAATCTATAGGTGTAATTTTGTAGCCTTTTGGTTTGGTGTAATACATGTGTCGCCCCCTCCACCTAAAGATTATCAAGATATTCTGATTTACTGGGCATTTGTTTATTTCAGACTATTAGTTTGTTACTTGTGATTATGAAGTGTTACTGTATGGAACTATGGATCAAGTGGAAACACATTTTATGGATGACTCACTATGAACGACCACCTGATACACACAGAGACTTGTTATTAGTTGTATAAGCTCACGGTCACAGAGCTTCTTAATGAGTGAGACTTGTTATTTTCAGCTCAAAAGTTGTCACTGTTTGAATTTGAATTGACGAGTCAAAAACCTTGAACGCTTTGGGAAGTGTACTTTTCAATTAATAAGTGAGACGCGCCGTTTTCACCTCAAATGCAATATTTCTTGGGAGATAAAACCTTAAAAGCTGTCACTTTTAAATTGAGAGTGAAAAGCTTGAACGCTTTGAAAAGGTATAGTTAAACAATATTATTGGTTTAAGTTAGGGTTGGACTCGGGTCCGGGCCGGGTCCGGGTCGGGCCTAGGCCCGGGCGGGCCGGCGGGTCAGAAATGTTGGACCCGGGACCGGCCCGGGTAACCACCGGGTCCGGGTCCGGGTCCGGGCCGGGCCGGGCCCATTATATTTTTTTTTGGTTTTCCTCTTCCTAATTAACCCCCCTCCCACCCCCTACCCCCCACCCCAAACCACCCCAAATGGCCCAAAATACCCAGCCCAATCCGAAAAGTTAAAAAAAATTGAAAAAACAAAAAAAAAAAAATTGGTCCGAACCGGGTCCGGGGCCGGCCGGGTCGGGTCTTGTTTTGGGTGACCCGAGCCCGGACCGGAAAACCCACGGGCCGGGCCTACCCGGACCGGTCACTGACCGGGCCACCGGGTCGGGTCGGGTCGGGCCGGAACAGTGCCGGTCCCGGGCCGGTTCCGGGTCGGGCCACCCGGCCCGAGTCCATCAATAGTTTAAGTCTTTATGACCATTTGTAGTGGTCAAGAGTCCAAATTGTTAAATGACCATTTTCCATAGTTATCAATTTATCATTCATGAAAATGACCTTGGCTTGATAGTCTTACATAATGAAAATAACATTATAAATATGGAGTTATATATGTAATTTTACGTGTAGAAATATGTAACTCACGTCCAGTCAGGCCAAATGCAACTCGTGTGTATATATATGTAACTCTACGTGTAAAAATATGTAACTTAATGTGTAAAAATATGTAACTCGCGTTCAGACAGGTCAAATACAACTCGTGTGTATAAATATGTAACTCGCGTGTATAAATATGTAACTTTACATGTAAAAATATGTAACTTTACGTGTAAAAATATGTAACCCGCGTTCAGGCACGCCAAATGCAACTCGTGTGTATATATATGTAACTTTACGTGTAAAAATATGTAACTTTACGTATAAAAATATGTAACTCACATGTATAAATACATAATACAATAAATTTTTTATATACACAATTTTAAGATAAATTGTGATTTACACGATTATTTTTCTGTAATAAATTTAGTTCGATTTTCCTTATAATCCAATACTCATTAATATAATAGTTCGATAATTTCTTAAAATTACATAAGCTATATTGGTCTCATTTGATAGATAATGAAAAATAAAAAAAAAACAATATAAAATTTATAAAAATCGGATATGAAATAAAAAGGTTATTACAATTTTTAACAATAAAAGGAATAAAAAATAAAGAAGTCTTTACTGTGCAGCTGTGCTTGCCAAAAATAAAGACCGGTATACGGTGCTCACCTATACCGGTCATACAGTATATTTTGCGGCGTACGAAGCTGCAGGTGGGCCGGTCCCCCCTTTTCTTTTCTTTTTCATTTATTTTTGTCCTGTCAACTTATCCCTCTATTTTTACACTCCTCCACCCCCCTTTCCATTTTTACTCCCCCTTTTAATCCCTCATATCATTTGGAGTGGTGTGAGAGTCTAAATGTCAAAAATGGACTCCGTCAATATGAAAACAGTGTTTTGACTCCTATTTCTCTGCATTCCAGCACTGTCAATAAAATACACTCTGCATATTTTTTTACATATCAATTTAGTAAAGCATTAATTAAATTATTATAAGTAATGTTTTCTTTTTAATTTTTTATCTGATTGATTATAAAATAAAAAAGACACATTTCGATGTAAAAATAAATAAATTTCATTAATTTTTTTATAATTTTTTTCGATTAACAAAAAATGAACTTCGTCCAAGTAAAATTCGATAATGGAATATTCAGTTATTTATGAAGGCTCCATGAACTAACAATCTGTATTTCGTGTTTTTTAGTCCTAAAAACTCCAGTATTAAATTTTTAATTTTTTTTTGAACATTTATATATGCAATATTGGTGTCCAATGAAAGATTATAAAATTTTATAAATTTTGATATACTTTTTGTAAAATTTGGAATATAAATAAAAAAGTTACATACATTTAAATGAAAAAGGTTTTTCGATAAGAAGTTAAGAACTTCATTTCAAAGAATCCTTCTTGGCCATCTCTTGGCCAGCTGCGCAGCCTACCTCCCCTCTTTCCTTTTGTTGGTTGTCAATCCATCTTCTATATTTGAGACCCCCCCTCCCCTTTTCATTTTTAATACCCTCAACTAGTCACCAATGTAAGAGGAAAACCAAAAAAAATATAATGGGCCCGGCCCGGCCCGGCCCGGACCCGGTGGTTACCCGGGCCGGTCCCGGGTCCAACATTTCTGACCCGCCGGCCCGCCCGGGCCTAGGCCCGACCCGGACCCGGCCCGGACCCGAGTCCAACCCTAACTTAAACCAATAATATTGTTTAACTATACCTTTTCAAAGCGTTCAAGCTTTTCACTCTCAATTTAAAAGTGACAGCTTTTAAGGTTTTATCTCCCAAGAAATATTGCATTTGAGGTGAAAACGGCGCGTCTCACTTATTAATTGAAAAGTACACTTCCCAAAGCGTTCAAGGTTTTTGACTCGTCAATTCAAATTCAAACAGTGACAACTTTTGAGCTGAAAATAACAAGTCTCACTCATTAAGAAGCTCTGTGACCGTGAGCTTATACAACTAATAACAAGTCTCTGTGTGTATCAGGTGGTCGTTCATAGTGAGTCATCCATAAAATGTGTTTCCACTTGATCCATAGTTCCATACAGTAACACTTCATAATCACAAGTAACAAACTAATAGTCTGAAATAAACAAATGCCCAGTAAATCAGAATATCTTGATAATCTTTAGGTGGAGGGGGCGACACATGTATTACACCAAACCAAAAGGCTACAAAATTACACCTATAGATTACAGACGTACATGTTTTGGTATCATCTTCAACCACGTGCACTTGTCCGAACTCCAAGGCTTGACTTACATTAGTTGACTGTTACGCATCCATGGATGCATCTCCACAGCCACCCTCTTGTATCAGCTATACCAAAGCACAAGAATTTATAATCTTTGAGCTTAAGAGCAAATGGGATGATGTTTTTTTGCAAAAAAAAAAGAGAATGAAGCGAATAGGGGAGGGGGGAAGAGAGCATGAGTTTTGCAAATTACCAAGGAGCCAACTCGTTCATACGCTTCCATTGTTTTTGGGTCTTCTTCATCCTGATACCCTACTTGTAATATCCTGGGACCATTCACTGACCAAAATGCACTTCGACCAGCCTCCTGAGGAGGCATCAAGATTTTGAAGAAATAGGTCAAAACAGAAATCCCACTAAAACGTAGTGTTTAGAAAACGCTAGGCTGGACCTTGGCAGGGTAAAGTCGGAAAAACATGCAAGTGATGGCTAAAAAAAATCTAGGAGGGAAGTTATACAAGTGACTAAAAATTGTTTGTACTTATGTAAGAAGCACAATAATTCTTTTCCCGTAGTGAATGAATGTACTGCGGGTGCAAGGCAAATGCTTAGCACATAAAACATATAGTACGCACATAAGCCAGGCTTTTACCTGTAAGACAAGTAAATAAATTGCTTCCAAGGTTTGTACACGAATCTCAGGATCAGACTCAGGTTCACGCTCAATGGAAAGTGCACTTGCTAGCTCAAGTGGCATTTTAGATGTGTCTTGCTTAGTATAGACCTGTTTTTGCCAGTCAATCAAACAGGACGCATCAGTAAGCATGCCTTGAATACTACCCAACTGAAGGTGTTGAAAAGTAATGAATCGAAACTAAAAGGAAAGAATGAACCTTCACCAGTCCATATAATCAGGAACAACAACATGCAGTCACAATTAGGTCCTTAATCCTTATCACGTTATGGTAATGAAGAGTGACTTTAGGATGTCAAATTGTTGGCAGTATTATTGTCAACTGAGTGCCAGCCGTCACTTTTTGACAATAATACAGTGTCAGTTGGCTGAAGTTGTACACAAAGACCCCTTACAACATGCTTGGACAAATATTGCAATATTTGGATATAAATTTTTTCATTTTCATTTACCCCAGTGCCGCAAAGGCTCCCCCTTACGGTGGGGTAGGGGGCGGGTGTATGCAGTCTTACCCCTGTACTAAAGCACAGAATGACGGTTTCCGGATGACCCATAGTGAAAATCCCGTCCAAAATTGCATGGACTAGCTGCTGCTTCATAACAAAGAAGCGCAGACAGTTTAGTGAGCCATTTTACTTTATTCCATCATAATCTCAAGCCAAAAAATATTTGGATATAAATATTACCATAAATTACTCCATCTCCTATTTTCTTACAAATTTTCATTTTCTTTGTGCTAAAAAAATTAATTACTTTACTAGTTTGAACTCCAAGAACTTCTTACTTTCCACTTTATCGTGTATGATGTATCAATCTTTTCACCATTTACTTTTTGTAGGAGCCACACACTTTTCTACTTTTAAAAGGTTATGATTGTAAAGTACTCTCTGTTCGTAGAAAACTTCCCACTTTGAGTTTTGCAATCAACTCTTGTTAACTACTTAACTGTTTAAGTATATGGTAGTAAATAGTAATGTTTGAAAGTCTCAAATATCGATATCGAAGACCGTGGAATTCAAACGGAGTTTTATTTTTTAAACGAAAAAGAATAACAACTACTCAAATGTATCCAACAACATGGGACAAAGAGAGTATCAAATATAGTATATGAACAACTAATTTATCATATTAATTCAAAACAAGATTAATAATTAATACTCTTTTATCATATCAAATTAAAAAACAAATTACTACACATGTAAAATAGTCCTTGTGAATTTCCATCATTCGCAATGGTGCCAAAGACTCACTACTCTTTAGCTTGAGAATATAATGGAATAAAGTAAAATGGCTCAATAAATTGTTTGCGCTTCTTTGTTATGAAGCAGCGGTCCGTCCATGCAATTTTTGACGCGATTTTCACTATGGGTCATCCAGAAACAGTCCTTTGTGCTTTAGTAAAGGAGTAAGGTTGCGTACTTCCGACCCCCCTTACCCTACCATAGATGGGAGCCTTTGCGGCACTGGGGTAATGATAATTGTTGAAATATAAACTACAATAATATTGAAAAGTGGAGGAAAGATTTTCTGTGATTTCATTAGAGGGTTAAAGCCCTATATATATTACAAAGATGGAATATTCCTACATAAGATGCTATACAATAATAATGTCTAGAGTATATTCCTAAAGCATATTCTAGAGCATATTCCTAAAGCATATTCTTAGATACAATAATGCTTTCACACTCCCCCTCAAGTTGGAGCATAGATATTTATCATGTCCAACTTGTTACATAAGTAATCAACTTGAATCCCATTTAGAGCTTTAGTGAATAAATCTCCAAGTTGTTCTCCAGTCTTCACATATCCGGTAGAGATTAATCCTTTTTGTATCTTCTCTCTAATAAAATGGCAATCAACCTCAATATGCTTTGTTCTCTCATGAAATACGGGGTTGTTTGCTATGTGTATAGCAGCTTGGTTATCGCACCACAACTGAGCAGGCATTGGTGTCTTCAATCCGATTTCATTCAATAAATGGTGTATCCATATTATCTCACATGTGGATTGTGCCATAGCTCGATATTCTGATTAAGCACTAGAACGAGAAACCACATTCTGTTTCTTACTCTTCCAGGATACAAGATTACCACCAACAAAGACACAATAGCCAGATGTAGAGCTTCGATCATCTTTAGAACCGGCCCAATCAGCATATGCACAGCATTCTATTCTCATGTGATCATGGTTTTGATAAACAATACCTCGTCCTGGTGCTCCCTTTAAGTAACATAATATGTGTTCTACAGCAGCCCAATGATCAATGGTCGGAGATGACATGTATTGACTCACTACACTCACAGAGTAAGCAATATCTGGACGAGTGATTGCGAGATAATTAAGCTTTCCAACCAATCGTCTATATCTTTCTGGAACTTCAAATGGCATGCCTTCTTGAGTGAGTTGAACATTGGGAACCATGGGAGTATTGCTCGGCTTTGATGCCAACTTCCCTGTTTCAGCGAGCAAATCAAGAACATATTTTCGTTGAGATAAAAATATACATTTCTTACTCCGTGTTACCTCAATACCCAAGAAGTATTTTAATGAGCCTAAATCTTTTGTTTGGAATTGGCTATGAAGAATTTTTAAGGGCCAAAATACCTGCATTATCACTCCTGTAATCACAATGTCATCGACATACACCACAAGCAATGTGATACCTGCTTTCGTTCGTCTGTAAAAGAGAGAGTGATCTGATTTGCCTTTGACCATTCCAAATTGTTCAATTGATCGATTGAACTTCCCAAACCATGCACGAGGACTCTGTTTCAGACCATAAAAAGATTGTCGAAGTCGACAAACTTTACCATACTCTCCCTGAGCAACAAACCCCGGAGGTTGCTCGATGTAAACTTCTTCCTGAAGATCACCATGTAGGAAGGCATTTTTAATGTCTAACTAATGTAAGTGCCAATCATGAGTTGCAGCGAGTGAAATAAGTAACCTGGTTTTAGCAACAGGAGAAAAAGTGTCAGAATAATCAACACCATAGGTTTTAGCATAACCCTTCGCAACTAATCGAGCTTTCAACCGAGCAACAGATCCGTCTGGATTAACCTTAACAGCAAAGACCCACTTACATCCAATAGACTTCTTCCCTGTAGGCAAGTCTACCAAATCCCAAGTACCATTAAGATCCAAAGCATTCATTTCCTCTACCATGGCATGACGCCATTCAGGATGAGACAAAGCTTCTTTAACAGATTTAGGAACATAAATAGAATCGATGGAAGCAATAAAAGAACATGAGGCAGGGGATAACTGACTATACGACACAAATGAAGAAATAGGATGAGTACAAGACCGTGTACCTTTACGTAGTGCTATCGGAAGGTCAAGATCTGATGTAGAGACAAGATCTGAAGATGCATGTACTGGTTCAGGACATGAGCTCAAGGACGGGCCAATATCAAGATAAGTAATCACAGGGGGCACAGGTGGAGGGTGGTCTGGTGCTCTGTTTCGACGGGTGTAAACCAAGTGTACTGGCGGTCTGGGGTCGGGAACAGTAACATGTGGAATAACTACAGAAGGTGTAGATTCTGGTATAGTGACAGAGTAAATGAGTATTTCATCAGTGTCCCCATGAATATCTGTCTTGGGTGATGAAAAAGGTATATTTTCATGAAATGATGCATCAATGGAAACAAGATATCGACCTATACTTGGACAAAAACATTTATACCCCTTCTAAACTCAAGAATAACCCAAAAAAATACATTTTAATGATTTGGGGTCTAACTTTGTAAGATGAGGATTAACGTCTCTAACAAAGCAAGTGGAACCAAATGTTTTAGGTGGGATAGGAAAAAGCTCTTTATTTGGAAATAGGCAGTGATAAGGAACTTTACCATTTAAAACAGAAGACGGCATACGGTTTATCAAAAAACATGCGGTAGACACGGCATCCGCCCAAAACTGTTTAGGCACATTCATTTGGAATAGAAGAGCCATTGCAGTTTCTAACAGATGTCAATCTTTCTTTCAGCGACTCCATTTTGAGGAGGTGTGTCTACGCATGAAGTTTGATGAATAATGCCATTTTGAAGCATAAAAGATTTAAATGGAGCCGAGAGATATTCTTGGGCATTGTCTCCCCTCAACACACGAACAGGAACATTAAATTGAGTTTAAATTTCAGCACAAAATGCAGAAAAATGAGTAAATAACTTTGATCGATGTTTCATAAAGTATAACCATGTCATACGAGAATAATCGTCAACAAATGTAACAAAATATTTGAAACCAGATTTGGACACAACATGACATGCCCCTCAAACATCAGTATGAACAAGATCAAACGGAGCGTTTGCTCGTTTATTAAGTCGAGGACTTAAACTAGTGCGATGATGTTTTGCAAATTCACACGACTCACATTGTATAGATGACACCTTATTGAATTGAGGATATATTTGCTTCATTAGTGGGAGAGATGGATGTCCTAATCGGTAATGAGCTTCTAATAGATTTCCAACCCCAAGGCAAGATATACCTTTTGTGATTGATGTATCCAAAATATAAAGACCAGCCGACTCATGTCCCTTACCAATAGTCTGCTTTGTCAACAGATCCTGAAACACACAATATCCAGGAAAAAATGTTACAGAACAATTAAGAGTCCGTGTGATTTTACTGATGGAAAGCAAATTAAATGCAAAATTAGGAAGACTCAAAACAGATGATAATGGTAATGTAGAAGTTGGGACAACAGTACCGGATCCAAGAAGAGGTGAGGTAGATCCATCAGCTAAAGTGACACTAGAAGTAGGTAAATATGAATGAAATGATGAGAATAGAATAGGATTACCAGTCATATGATCTGTGACACCTGAGTCAATGACCCATTTCGAGGATGAGGAAACAAGACATGTGTTTGAAATACCTGAATTAGCAACTACCGAAGTAGGGACAGAGGAATGCTTTAGTGATTCTTGGTAGCAATTAAATTTGGCATACTCGACTGAAGAAATAGCAATTGATCCATCAGAGGAATTGGTAGCGGAAGAAACATGAACAAGCCGATTTCCTTGATTTTTGAATAGCAATTTTCTACATTCTTTGATCAAGTGTCCGGGCTTCTTGCAGTAATTGCATATTACTCCTTTGTCAAATTTACCTGTACAAAACATTTCCCTTTTGTTTTTTTTGCTTATGTACTTTTTTTTAATAGTTTTTTAAGCAAAATAAAATAAAATAATGGAATGTAACCTCAATATTCTTTGAGTGTTGTATTCTCCATGTCCGCACAATAAGTAGAGGCTCTGTGAAGATATCCTTACCAGAAGAGAGTGTGCGAGCTCGCAGAAGACCAAAACCCTCGTCAATAATGGTCGGTCATGAAGGTTGCAAGGAAGAAGCTTGTGCTGCCAGAGCTGGAACGAATCCTAACCACCCCAAAGAGAAGCGACAGAAATGGATAGGCGATATGTAGGTGAGACGGTCGGCGTTTGTCGATCGGAAATCTGGCCGCAGAACAGACGCCACGTGCCGGCGCGTGAGATGAAGTCGCCGAGCTGTGGCGGCGCGTGTAGCTCACTCGCGTGGTGTTTAGGTGCCGGATTTTGGTTTCTGGGTCGTCGGAGGTAGGCGCACGACCTGGGTACAGCGGTGATGGAATGTGTGGTCTGAAAATTTCTGAGGTCTGGTGGGCAGACTGTATGCAACTGGGAAATTAGCTATGCTAATTTGATTTTCTGGGAAATTAGCTATGCTAATTTGATTTTCTGATTTTTTTTTGTTTATGACTCTGATACCATGTTAAAATATAAACTAGAATAATATTGAAAAGTGGAGGAAAGATTTTTTGTGTATTTCATTAGAGGGTTAAAGCCCTATATATATATTACAAAGATGGAATATTCCTATATAAGATGCTATACAATAATAATGTCTAGAGTATATTCCTAAAGCATATTCTAGAGCATATTCCTAAAGCATATTCTTAGATACAATAATGCTTTCACAATAATGATGATGATTATGATGATGTAAAACAATCCTTATGAGTGGAAAACATTTAGACCATCTGAAGAATAATTCACATGCTAGTTTCATGTATGATTGTTATGCAAGCTTCAATATGTGTAATTCTACAACACCGCCAAACGTTCATGCATTTTAGGCTTCAAGTGATAAAACAAACACATCTCTTTTTGTCTATTTTATGATTTTTATTGCAGCACTATCCGGGAGGAAGAAATTCAATCTATAACTAAAAAGCACCAAGAACAGTGATAATAAGTAATAGCATAGGTTTCCTAAGACAAAGGTATACACTCCCCAAGCAGACAAGCAAATCTAGTACAAGACAAATCACTCTATTCAATGTGATTTGTATTGTTTAATTTATTTTCAAATTATCGCCCAGATAATCCATACAATCATTTCTACATCAACCCAAAGAGCAAGAGGTCACCTTATTTCCAGCAACTGGTAATAGCAGAGCTGGCCATAAAAATTCAGAAGTTAAAAGCAAATTTTGTAGCTGATTTTCAGCTTCAAAGCAGCAGTTTCGAATAGTTCCCGATACCTAAATTTGAAAATTACTATTAAAAATCATTCAACATATAGACTTCACTATATACCATTACCTCCGTCCAAAACAAACTACTATGTATTAACCTTTGATAAGGTACAACTCCATAAATCATAAATCATGAGTCATAAATCTTACTGCGTATTATTCTTTTTAAAATTTATTTTGTTCGTTTAAATAAATTTATCAAAACCGGAAACAGTCTCTCTATACTTTAGTATAGGGATAAGGCTGCGTACATCCGACCTCCCTTACCCCACTGTAGGTGGGAGCCTTTGCGGCACGGGTAATGATGATGATGATGAAATAAATTCAAATGCAACTTGTCTTTGACTCTTACTTTACCTTTTTATTTGGAAAACTACATGAAAAATTAGATTCAATTGATCAAATTAGACTTTTATAGGGAAAGAAATATTTTGGACAACATTTTATGGGACAGAGACAGAGAGGCTATATGAAATTAACAATGTGTTCATCATGCATACCCCTTTCTTTCGTATAATGCTTCCTGAATCAAACTGTCTGATAATTTGCTTCAGGAGTCCCCGCTTTGGGTCCAGCAGAAGTTTCCTCCCTTCTTCCTTTTTTGAAATGTTCACCAGTACAGATGCTACGTGCTTAAACGGATCACCTAATGATCATAGGTGGTGATGAAAATGTGTCATATCAATGTCAATTTACATTGTTTTGAAGACATAATTGTATTGTTCATGCTCAACTTTCTACCAAAACGCACAATAGGATTTGTTCTCACCTACTTGAAGCCAAAACGGAAACCAATTAACTAATATTGTGTTGAGCAGTTAAAAGATAATAGGAATTCTATATTCTACCCCTTTAATTAATTTTTTTTTTATTTGGTAGACTAACATTGTTTTTAATTCATGTAAGAACCCTATTTCCATCGTGTCCAATGGAGCCAAAGACTGATTATTTTTTGGCTTGGGAATATGATGGAATAAAGCAAAATGGCTCACTACACTATTTGCGCTTCTTTGTTATGACTTATGAAGCAGCAGTCAGTCTATGCAATTTTCATCATGAGTCACCGGAAACAATCTTTTTGTGTTTAAGTACAGGAGTAAGGATGCATACATCCGACCCCCCTTACCCCACCGTAGGTGGGAGCCTTTGCGGCACTAGGGTAATGTTGTTGTTGTAAGAACCCTATTAAATTCAAACCATAAAATTCTAGGTTGGATTAAAAGAAAACTAATACAAGAAAAACAATGTTAAAAGAAAGGGTGACATTTAGAGATCCAAAATATTTTATTATGTCCAAGCATCAGCTCAGAAAACCAGGAATCATATTCAATATAAGTATACAGAAGTCAGAATGGTCATTCCAGAATCTCCCTTACTTGCTTATGTGTTAGATCCAGGGGATCAAAGTTGTGATGTACAGGAAACCAAAAAACAAAACTAACTATGGAAACCAATGAAAACGACTCAAACTTTTCACACCTTTTTTCTCCTCGGATGATGAGCAGAATGATCTCACAAGCTTCATAACATACAGGCCATGCATCTTTCCATCACCTGACGGATCGGAAAAGTAACGAAAATCAAGAAATCAGGAAAAAGATGGAGGCTTTATTAAGAACCTATTCATATTAAGAGCTTGTTACAAAGGAAAGTGAACCAACAATAGAGGTACAGAGGTACTATAAAATAACCTTGATAAGCAAGTCAACACCAGCATCTAGTTGTGTGAGATTGACAAGGAGCATAACCAGCAAATGCATAATTTCACAGTCTTGCTTGTACAAAATCTCCATAGTCATTTTTATTATATTCATATCAACCATCTGACCCGCTAACTGCGGATTTGGAGACAAATTCACAAGAGCTTGTGCTGCAGGTTCTGAAACCTCCTAGATTGAAAGATCAAGAGTCAGGGCAAAAAAGTTAATCATGTGTTATGTATAGATCAAATAACTAATTTTTCATGCTTGATACTTATGTATTAGAAAGACAGTTGGAAAGAATAATACTCCGTATCTATTATCTACGAAAACTACGTAGAATACTTTGTCAATTTGAATTACAATTCTTAGTCCTTGTAAACATCTACTCCGTATAACTCATCCTACGAAAACTGCCTGAAACTTCTTATGATGTAAAAGCTTGTCTGGGCTTACTTTTAAGGTAGATAAAAGTCCTTCTAAAATTTCTAAAGCAACATGCTGCTACTTCAGTGCTTCTATGGAAATAAAAAGGTTGTATTAATTTACTCCATCATTAGTTTTACCTTTTCTCTAAGGTTCCTTGATATGTATGCAGTCATGCACATTTCTAACATGCTGATATTTTGGGATGTGGGAGTATGAACTGCATATAGAAGGGTTAAATTGGAAAATACAATAAAAGCTGTCATGAAACATAAAAATGAAGAACTGACAACTGATTTGGGACAACTTTTATTGAAAAAGTGACATCCTTTTTAAATCCTGGGGAGTAATACAAGATACTAAGACATGATCATTCATATTGATCTTGTTATCCTCAATAAAAACCACTACCATGAAACAGCACCACACACGTGAAGTAACACACATAAGAAGAGATGGTGTGATGTCAGATGTGCTCTCAGCAGGAATATCAATATCTGTATTAATCAAAACATCAACACCCACAATTTAGGCTGCTCACAATCCTCACATTGTCCCTATAAGTCATTACATTTATACAATCTATTAATGTACTAAAAGGACAAATTGAACAATTTTTTCTACATCCTAAATGTAAATAGATACCCACCCATAAATAGATACCCATCCCGATAACAAGACAAAATGCAATATAGAACTGCTAGGATGACTACTTTATCTAGTAAGGAGGGTAAACAAGCAAATCGATATCTACTTTCTGATATTATTTGTTGCTCCTAAATATGAAATGTAGCTCATCTATCTGATACTTAACCAAAAGCCCAATAGATTAGAAAAGAAAGAAGAAAAAGTACCTTGCTTTCAGCGAGCAGGCGAGACAAAGACGGAAGCAGAATGCTGGAGTGCTCTCCGAGGAATTGAATCCCATCTTCAGACCCTGTATAATCTCGAACGATATCCACAGCCGCTTTCTTAACCTAAATTTTGGTTGTTCAATGATAAAAATGGAAAAGATCATAAACCTCGAAGTTTCAATAATAAGAAAACACAGAAAACCCTACGTATAGGTATATGTACGGGGAAGCGACGCCTACGATGGGGGAAGGAGATGATAGAAAGCCAATCAGTTCTTCGAGTTCAGAAGCCATTGATAGAAAGTATTTAGGACAGTGCGGAAGAGCCGCCAGTCGATGACGCCGGTTTTATCAGCTGGACGCTGCCACGCTGGCACAGTCAATTCAAATGAGTACTGGGCGGAATGGCGTTGGGCGAACTGCGAAGCTCTCTTCCCTTCCAGCAAGGATGCCGTCCATTTACTGTGTGAGGAGGTCTTCATAACTGGAAGTAATAGAATAAATTGTTGAAAAATGATGAGGCAAACAAATTGAATTCCAAAATTGGCCTTTTTTTAATCACATACATTCATTCTGCTCACTTAATTATGATACTAGAGGATGAACCCTGCATTCCACGGGAATACTCAATATACATTGATAAATTATTTTGTTACAAACTTATTTCATACTTGAAGTGTTATTAAATCAATGATCATGTTATGAAAAAAATATTACAATTTCTAACTTTATCTAAAAAAAACTGATTAAATCACAAAAATCACCTTTTTTGAAAATTTAGAATGAAGGGAATTTATTTATACAAAGTATTTTTTAAAAATAAATTATTAATATATTAATAAAATAAAACATAATAATAGTAGAGCGCGTGAATAGTGTAAAATTTCTAGTGTTAGAATTATTTAAGAACGAAAATATTATATATGGCCGTATGAATAGTAAATGACTTTTAAGTGCGTATCTGGATAGGCCAAACAATTCTATTACAAAATTACAAAATAAATTGTTATGTCTGTCATTTTCTTCGGATTGAAATTTGGTGTCATCAACATCATTTCACATGTCATCTCCAACCAGGGGCGGACCCACTAAGGGTCCCACGGGGTTCCGGGACCCCGCGTACTTCCAAAAAAATACCTATATATTTTATATATTTTATTTAAAATTTACTTATAAATGTATATATAACACAAAAACAAGTATGAATTCCAAAGAATTGAGCACAGCAATGGAGGAAAACCTTTAAAAACCTTTACTTTTCGTGGAGGTGCAAGGATCGATTCCCTCTCACTCCTATTCCTATTTTTTTGATTTATTATTGTAAAAGATCACAACTACATCCTTTTGCCTTTTTTAAAAATCCCCAACTTTACACTTTACATAATTCAATTAATTATTAAAATTTCTATTATGATTTTCCATTATTAAGTGAAGAATTGAATAAAATAATTGGTGAATATGAAATTAATTTGACTGACAATACACATGATCAACATGTTTACTTTGAATCTTTAGAAGCTTATCCTGGTTTGAGGAAAAAAATTGTTGATTTGCATCATAATGTTCAAGATGAGTTGCGTCATAGTATGGACTATGAAACGTTGTACTACTTTAATATTTGGAATTTTATCAATTCAAAACTTGAAAGGTAAATGAATTATCAATCCGAGACCTGAAAGAAGATATTTATAGATATAAGAATCAAATGATGAAAATGGTCGATTTAGGACTTGAATGATTAAAGACTATCAATCTCGGACCTATATTGTCATGAATTTTATTGTTTTTATGTTAAAATTTTTAAATATTATTTAGTTTTATTAAACTAATAAACTTTTGTGGAAAAAAGTTTATCAAAAATTAGCAAAAGAATTAATAAATAAATAAATAAATCAAAATCTATGAAATCTTAGATCCTAGATTGATAATTTTCATCTTTCGGGTACCGAATTTATAATATATCTATCTATAAGGTCCTGAATTGATAAAAGTTCTTAATATTTTGATGATGTACATTAACTATGAAATGTTATGCTACTTTAATATTATATAATTACATTTTTTAAAATTTTTTATTGGTTAGACTTACATTAAGGTAGGGACCCCGTGACTCCGATTTTCTGGGTCCGCCACTGTCTCCAACAATAATAATATTGGAGAACATCGGAGATGATGTTACAAACTTGCAAAATCAATTCACCACACAAATGACCCAATTGCTCTACATAATATAAAGATTAATTATGCGTCTAGATAGACTAAACTATTGAATTCAAGAATTCCAAAATTAATTGTCCACCCCAATTGCTTTAGGCGGGAAGATTGCAAAATCAATTGGCACCCAATTGCTCTATATAATATAAAGATATTACTCCCTTCGTCCCTAAATTTATTTCCAACTTTCCCTTTTCGTCCGTCCCAGAAAGAACTTCATTTTCCCCTTTTGGCAAAGAATTTGTGGTTCACAACATTTCTCACTCCTCTGCACAACTCTCCACCACACAATTCCCACTTTCTTAATCACTGTGTCACTTTAATTTGGAAGAACATTTAGGGACGAAGGGAGTAATATATTAATTTTTAATTATTTTCCGATGTATACAAACTACATGTAATACCAGTGCGATGCACGGGTACATCTAGATTAGAATAACAATTTGTGTAAAATTAACTCTGTGTATGATGATACATAATATGTAATTATTTTAAATAAAAAATATAGTAAAGCTTATATGTTTTAACTTTGATTATACGGAGTATAATGATAGTTAATGGGAAAATGAAAATGTTGATCATATGAAAAATTGCAAATAAATTTAAAACAAAAGGTAAGTTGTAAATGAAACATCATGATTCCATAGTGTCTCATTCGATGGTCATAAGGAAGAATTATAAAGATGAATTGTCATATATGTTGGCACTCTACAAAAAGGATCATCACTTTTAGAAAAGTTGATAGCTAAAATGAGTGACCCTTAACATGAGAACGTACCAAGGCCGGTCATATATGTTTGAAGGCTTTGGGGCGAATAACTAAAATGGGTCAAACCAGGGCTGGCTGTGCAGCCGCACAGGGCCCAATATTTTCTAAGGCCCAAAACAAACTAGTACTCCCGTATAAGAATTGTAATATGCCGACCCAGGACTAAAACATAAGGAAATAGAAGAAGAACGGATCGGAAGAAGAACAGAACGGAAGACGACTCGGGAAGAAGAAGCGCCGCACCGCATGACCAAATCCGTGAACCGCCAGCCACAAGCGCCAACGCGCCTCTACGCTGCTTCACAACAACACTCTGCCTCCGGGCCGCACGTCCGTTGACATTACCGGTAAGAAACTAAGCACAATCGTCAATAACAGTTAGTACGTGAATCATTTGTCTATGATTGTTGGATTTCTTTAATTGCAATTTGCAAATTACAGAAAATCTGAAATTATTGTGTTGCATTGTTGTTATTTGTTTATTTATTTGAGTTGTTGAATTGATAATAATTACTAAATTGATTTCAGTTGTTGAATTAATATTATTTTTTATAGCTTGCTGCGGATACAACCAAACCCCAGCGTCCATGTTCAATCCAGATAGTTTTCTTCACCGGGCTATGCTAATTTGTTAGACACAAAAGCAAAATTAAGTTTTTGAAGAGCTCTTTATTTAGGTGGCTTTCACTTGATAATAAATGTGTATAACAATTAAGATGTAAGAAATTGGTATAATGTAAGTATTTTGAAGTTTTTGAAGGGCTCTTTATTTAGGTGGCTTTGACTTGATAATAACTATGTATAACAATTAAGATGTAAGAAATTGGTATAATGTAAGTATGTTATTAGGTAACTATAGTCCTTTAGGTTTATAAATTATAATTATATTATTATAGTCTTTCATGATTTCATCCAAAATTTAAACTCAATTTTATTTTGACATAAAATTTATAATCAGGTACAAGATTAGGGTAATATTTCATTTTCGTTTAAATGTTGTGATGAACGTAAGGTTGAGTATTTGAACACTGAAATTTTAAACTGTTTTGGATTAGTTTTTATTGTTGTTTAAGAAATCGTGGTATACTTTTATATGCTTTTGGGATTTGGTTTAGGAAAAATAACTTTTGGGTAAATGTGTAAGCTTATTTGTGCATTTGAATGAAGTAATAGTGATATTAGAGTATGAGAATGACATAACGTGTTTTGGGTCTGGGATGAGGATTGTGTTTGTTAGAATGGATAAGAACATTGAAATGTGAACACCCATATTGTGCAAGTAATGGTTGTTGTGGAAAAGCTGATAGCGAGAAGTCTAATGCAATTGATAGATGTAGACATGTACTAGTGCATAAGATGAATGTAAATGTATAGGAATAAGGAATAATTAAAATATAAACAAACTAATAGTTATCAAATTTGTTAATTAGACATGTGAATACGAAAGTATAAAAATGCCTTATACAACACTTATTCAATTTTGTTTAAAGGACAGTTTATACTATCATGATTGTACATTTCATTACATGACCTGCACAATCTCTCCAGTGTCTTATTTTCTGCAATGGACACCTCTCGTGCACCTTTAATCCTCCTTCTAGATCCTTTGTTTTTGGCCTTTTGAAGAGGCAAAACATTCACATCAGCAGGTCTACTTGCCCCGTAAAATGATTGGATCATGGAATTCTTAGTCGTAGGAAGTGGATCACTTTTGTCAGCTGATAGAAGTGCATGCTTTTGCTGACTAATCACAGTTGCAAATTGTTTTAGTCTGCTTAGATGTTTTTCAGCTAGAGCAACACAAGAGTGCAAATCTGTCCAAACCTGTTGCATTGTTTTTTTCTTCTCTTCAATTTCAGCACACTGTTGAACTAGAATATCTGATATACCATGTAACAGTCGTAGTAGACACTTTCTACACCAACGATTAACAACATAACGCTGAGGAATACAATTAAGCTTCGAGTCTTTAAAAGCCACAAACATGTGCCTACACACTAACCCCAATCGAATAAAGTATTTGCACTCGCAAGATGCCTTGGTATCGGAGACATTGAATTCTACCTTGAATATCATACCACGGTCATCTTGAATAACATAATCCAAATTACCATCATGGTCATGCACACTAAGCACACAGCAACTAAAACAAGCAGATGCAATTTCAGCTTGCACTAAATAAAATACAGTGAGAGTATACATCTCCGCAGCATGCTTTTCAATAGGCAATGGAGTTTTAAAAATAGGAATGTAGGACTCCGAACCAGAATTTAATTTATTAGATTTATGGCGTTGAGCATCCATTGCAATTTCAAATTGCATGTAAAACTCAATGAGGCTAAAATGAGGGTTAGTAAACTCACCAAAAAAAATTACTCACTTTCAGGTCTTGAAGTTGTTCGAAGCAAACACCCCATGAACAAATCCCTAAAGTAAGATGGAATCCAAAGCTTCCGAAGATTGAACAAGTCCACA